GCAATATGAAACAGGCAATCACAGGTAGAGCTTAGATCTCAGCATATTCTCTGTTTTGCTATTTTCCTGTCTTATTTGCTGAGTTTATATAGGAATGGTAGTCCTAAATTCACACGGTTTTGGAAATACCAATCAAAATAATTGTGAATTCACTGAGACAGATAGTTGATTATTAAACATTATAGATGCCAGTGTAAATATTGGTAAAAGATGGGCAAGCATGCATGCATTGAAAGGTATTAATTTTTGTGAATACATGTGTGATGTGTGCATACGTCATAGCACGTGAGGGTGCACGCACACACACACCATGAGGTTTGTGTGGAGGGGTGGGGCATAGCACGTGAGGGTGCACGCACACACACACCATGAGGTTTGTGTGGAGGGGTGGGGCATAGCACGTGAGGGTGCACGCACACACACACCATGTGGTTTGTGTGGAGGGGTGGGGCATAGCACGTGAGGGTGCACGCACACACCATGTATGTGTATGTATGTGTGGAGGGGTGGGGGCAATCTCACAGTTTGTTTAAGGCAGGGTCTCCCCCGCCCCACATTGTGCCGTGTTCCACATCTACGTGGCCTGTGAGTTTCCAAGGTTCCCGCCTCCCATCTCACCTTGGGAACACGGCAGTTGTAGACACATGCTCCGACATCCAGCTTTAGCGGTTTCTGGGCATCTGAACTCAGGTTGTCAAGCTTGAGCCATCTTCCTAGTCCTCTTCTGCCCTTTTGTCGAGAAAGTAGCTCTGACTGGCCTAAAATTAATTAGGAACTTAGGCTGGCCTTGAACTTGTAGTGATCTTGTCTCAGCTTCCTGAATCTGGTGGGACCACTGTACCTAGATTTAAATGTACTTTAAATGGCTTAAGTTAATTTTAGGTGGTCAAAATGTAGAGCGTGAATCCCCCATTATGAGGCTGTTATTCATTGTCTAATTTACTGTTCAAATTTGCTTTTGTCTGTCAAGCCTTGTTTTTATTTTTTCCAGAAGGAATTAACAAAAATGTAAGGTCATGGATTTTGAAATATAAAAGATTATTACTTGTAATGTTTGCAAAATTTGAGACACAAAAGCTAATGTGAACACATAATGATCAGTGGTTTTCACTTCATGGGCACATCCTTACCATTTAGTGTGTGTTTAAACTGAAGGTCGGAACACGGCAGTACAGAAGTTTCATGTAAAAACAGAGGTGTGAACCAAACTTCCCTTTTTAGTTGGTTTGAATTACGAATATGTGCCCCAAAGAAAACAATATTACACTACCATCAACCATCAATGAGGCTTAAGCCAGTCCACAGAAATTTTTGAAATTCATACCATACTTTCCATGAGACAGGAATATAGTTTTAGAAATTGAGTGTTGCAGTGGGTTGAAGATACAGTATCTCCGACATAGGAATGCTTGGCCCACTGACACAGGCACTGCTTTGTGAAGTTCTGTAAACTTGAGGAAGTGGGGCCTACCTGGAAGAATGTCCTAAGAGCCACATCCCAGGCATGTCTGGTTCCTCTTCATTGTTCTGTCTGCTTTCTGTCCGCCGTGTGATCAAGAAGGTTCTCGTCACGGATCCCCACTGCTACAGGGTTCTGCACAAGCCAGGGCCAGGCAACCATGGACTAAATCTGAAACTGTGAGATGAGACAAAGCGTCCCTGAGTCTGCTACCTCAGACATTTGTTGCTATGTCTAGAAAAGCTAAGCTAAAGCCACGCATTACATGATGTCAGAGAGGAAAAAGAGTAAGTCTAGACGGAAGGTGGGTGATAGGTGTGGTTGTCGGGCTGCTCAGTGCTCACAGTCTTTTAGTAGCTAAAGATGCAGAGGAGGAGATTTAGGTCAGGAAGGCAGTTACTAAGGAGGAGAAAGACAACAGTGACAGGAAAGTGTGGGCGTGGAAGCTACAGGTGCTCGCCTTTGCCTCATGTCAACACAGCTCCCTCTAGGTTCCTGTCAACTCCAGACAGTACTCCAGAAACCCAAACAATGGTAACTATTGTTTACTGAGAAGATGTTGAATCAGAAGGGTCAAGCTAACTGACTGTAAACCTTTAATAGGACTGAAAGAATTATTATTCCAACTTTTGGGTGATAAAGTTGAGGCTAGGCAAGCTAGGCAAGAAATGTTGCCATGACAACAGGCATAGTACGTGTCACCGGCACTTCAAATAGGCAGTTATGGTTGACCAAGGAAGGAGCCTAGAGAAGAGGCCAGCTCTGCTTGTCCTCTGTATACATTTTACAGCTGTGATCTTTGTCAGTGTCTGATGGGGATAAGCTATGCTTTGTTTTGTTTGTTTGTTTGTTTTTTGCTCTAAAGTGATGAAACAATTATCTTGATGTGCATTTTGTGTCCAGCGGTTTGGACTCAGCATCATGGGATTATCATGTATTAGTGATTATAGATTTCAGTGGCGATTCTGTTGTATTCTGTATTTTACGTACTGACTCTACCTCCCCCACACCCAGGAACTCACCATTTAGTTGCCTAGCTCTGCGAGGCTCCAAAGGTGACTTCATTTTGTAATTTCCTCTCTGTCATTGTCTGCCTGGATTTTGGACCCTTGGCTCTGCAGTGTTAAAAACAAAACAAAACAAAACAAAAAAAAACCCAGAAATGCCTCCAGGGGAAGAGCAGTGGAGCAGAGGAGGCTCACACCTCTCTGGTGGCTTTCCCGCAAGGATGTCATTTTAACTTAGTCAAGCACATGGTCTTGCATTTTGTGTTTCTTTCCGAGTTGACATTTGTTCTAACAAAAATCTACTCTTTTGTAACAGGAGCAGAAAGGAAAAGCACTTGACTTTTTGCTGTGTACTTGGACCTTCAAGTTTCTTACCTGTTTTCTCCTGAGGTGTCTGTCGAGGCCCATCCATGCACATAGAAGCAAACGGCTTTTCCCTTTGTGCCTTCCTCTTGCCTCCTGTCTGAGCTTGCTGCAGGAGTGGTTGAGGGTTTCAGCGCACAGCATTGGGGAGGAGTCTGGAGACTGGCTTCCATCCTAGGTCTCATTGCCTTCTTTTCTCACCCAAAGTCTGTAAAGTGGGCTCGACCTACTTGATAAAGGGAAATGTTTCTAAGGAAAATTCTTATTCAGGGAACTTTTTTTTTTGTTTTGCTTTGTTTTGTTTTGTTTTTGTTTTTTTGCTTAAGGTATGTTTATGCTTTTACAAAGACAAAAATTAAAATTGGAACATTTTATGCATAAATATTTCAGAATATCTGTGCATTTTAGGCTACTGAGTAAATTAGAATGTGAGACAATGAATGGTTTATTAAAGTCACTTTACTAATGAGGCAATAGTTTACAATTTTAAAAACAATGAAAGGATATTCTTTAAAAAGAGAAATAACAGGTCATTTGTCTATCACAGAACGACTGCAGTGTGTGTTGTGTATGTGTGTTTTGTATGTGCATACACGAGAGAGCCTGCACACATGGCCGTGTGTGAGCACGCACAGGCCTGAGAAGGATACTGGGTATCTTCCTTTCTTGCTCTCCACCTTATTCCCTTGAGATAGGCTCTCTCACTAAACATAAAGTTCACTATTTCAGACAGGCTGACAGATCAGCAATTACTCAGATAGGCCTGTTTCTAATGCCCAGCACTGAGTTTACATGCTTGTACAGTCATTCTCTGCTTTTTACATGGGTGGTAGAGATTTGACCTCAGGCCCTCATGCTTGCAGACAAAGTGTCTCCTATGCGATTCTAGACCCTACCACGTTGACAATCAGTCTTAACTGTCACATCAGCTCCGGTAGAAAATTTCACTGTGAGGATGCATTTGGGATGGAACCAAGGGACATGAGAACCTCAGTTGTTCATTTAAAATAAACATCCTCGGAAAACTCAACCCAACCTGTCTGAAACAAATAAGAACTTTATTAGAGCCTGGCTTCTTAACAAGTCACACTTGAGAGTCACAAAACCAGGTGACCTTGTTACTGCTTCCATCTAATCAGGCCTACAAACGCATTTCTCATTTGAGAAAACCTGAGTTTGCCTTACATACCCACCACTCTGTAACTGTTGTATCTCAGCTTCAAGGACATTTGTTGTATAGCAGTTTCTTCTGAGATGAAACATTTGATCCTGAAAGGAGATCTTAAGACTCGGAAACTAAACAACTCAGAAGTTTCAGGAAGTCTCTGAAACTGACCAGCTGCCCTCGTCTCCTCCCTCTTCTAAGTTTAGAAACTTTAGGGTAAGGGTTAGGTTAGGAGGACTGCTGAGAAGACACTCCCAGACAAGCAGAGCTGCCTGAAAAGGTTTCAGGCCAACAAAGCTGCCTGTGAGCAGCCTTCACTTTGTAAAGCTGCCTGCAAGTTGTGTCTTGGGCCCTAGGTTTCAGCTTCCAAGAGTTGTCACCCTTACTGGGGTGGGCTTTCGGTGATGCAGTTGTCTTTCTTTGATCCATTTCTGTTCCTACAAGTAACCTCAATAAAACTCCCTGGCTCATCAATTTGGATTGGGATTGTATCCTCACTTTGGTTGCTTGTTGATTGTCTGTCTGGGCTGAATGAAGTTTGTTCATCCCTCTCAGGGATAGTGTCATACAATAGACATGGAGGTACAGTTGGGATAATGTGTCATTATTTCTCCCAGGGAAGAACTTTTATGCTAATTTCCTTACTATCCATACTTCAAATCATGTGTCATTCTATTTGCATCAGCTATTTTTAATTGTTGTCCAGTAACAAAGGGACGGGGACCAAAGCTGTTCACGACTTTTAAGAAGAGTGATGGGGGTCAGAATATCGTCACTTCAATAGACCCACTTATGGAACTTTGGGTAAAAAGGCTATAGTTGTTGCAGGCATTCTCAAAGGTAAAAGGCCCAAAGGTGTGTTGTCCCAAAAGATATATGAAGAAATCTGAAATATTCCACACTCCCACTGCTAAACACACCACATACTCACATATACCTCCTGTGCCCACAAAAATAACCACACATGACACATACATGTCACCTCCCCCACAAGATACACATAATCTGTAAAATGATTGTCATAGTTTATTGATCATAGTGAGTCTGGCTTATTGGTAAATATGATTAGTTTTTATAAGATCTTCCTTTGTATTTTCCTTTCAAACTAGAAAGTTCTATAATGAACCAGAAATGGTTTTAAGCTTTTCTTCTGACACAAGAGAAAGTGGGAGCAAGAGAAAGAACTGGAGTGGGCAGGGAGGGAGTGGAGGGAATGAAGGAAGAAGGGAGGGGTTGATCTTGAGAGAACACAGAGGTCAAGGATTGAGGTCAAGGTCGTTCATCATGTAGGTAGAGCTTGGACCTCTGGGCAGTGGCATCTTCTATTTGTGCTCAGGTCATCTTCATGTTGTTTCTACATTGCATCTTCTGTTCTCTAAGACCAAGCAGCACACTGGGAGAGGAAGAGCACCTTGTTAAAACTATTCTCTAAACTATTCTCTAGGCAAGAGCTCTAGCTTTAGCACTGCCCTGCATTGAGGAAGCCAGGACCCTGACATTTGTACTTATTGCCCCTGCACTCTGGTGCCTCTGAGCACATCCAGATTAGCAGTCTAGAAGATGGTGTCACTATACATGGGTGTCTAACAATCTGCCTCAGTTACTCCAAACCCCAGGCAACCCCTCCCATGAGCAGCTGGTGAGTGACAAGCAGCATCTCCAGTATGAGGGCAGTTTACCGGTGAGTGATACGGAAGTGTGGAAGGGTTCTCACGCTCTTCTTTGCCAGTTCCCTGTGACTGAGCTTATGGTTACAGATTCACACAGTGCTGACATGAGTGGCTAGGCTTTATAACTTTTTCTTAGTAGATTAAAATTTTAACCCCCAGCAGGCGAATCTGTAGCTCAAATGCTTGCTTACCACTCTTCCCTTACACACTCTTTTCCTTATCCAGTTGTTGAAATACTGTTTCCTCTGTATGATGGCAATGAAGTTTCTATGTTTCCCTTTCCCAACCCAGGTGTCCACTATACTTATTTTTCATTCTAAAGTTGAGTTATCCATATGCTGATTCCCACAGAAAGTAGAAAAAATGCACATTGCTTTTCATGTCTAACACATCATTTAATTAATAAAAACTCATCTCATCTGGCTTCCACATTTTAGCGAGAAGATAGGCTGGGCCAAAGCCTGTTCCTTACAAGACTGGGGATATTCATCAGTACATAATGCAGGAAAACTCCCATGCATGCCGCATGGGACCCCATTCATAAATACAAACAATGATCTCAGCTTCTCGTGACAGTGGAGACTTCCTGTCTGGTGGGGTGAATGGGGCTGAAAAGATAGCACAACACCGACAGTGCCCAGGGTATACTGGGTTAGGTGAAATTGACTTGGGAAAATATTAAAGGTCATAAAAAGGATCAGTTAAAAAGGCAAATGCAGAAAATTAATAATATTGCTAACTCACAAAATACTTAAAACATTAAGAGTAGTCATTAACCATTTCTTTAAATCCTGCCACAAATTTGTGTCTTTGTATTTCCCAGGCTTTTTAATTAGAACCAATGTGAAATTTGTTACTTTTGCTCTTATCTTTCACCATAAATAATTTAGCAGGTATTTTATCTTCAGAAAAAATAACTTGTGTTTTAAATTATCATGGTTGAGTAAACTGTAATGGTCCCATGTTTGTAATTGTAGAGGAAAACTATTAGACTTTACTGAAAAATTTGGTTTAACATTGCCTTTGTCAGATTAAGTGAAAATTTAAAAATAAGTTGAAATATAAAACAGAGTCTGGGAAAAATAAAGTTAATGAAAATCTTACAAGCCAGAGATAGCCACCACTATCATTTCTGATATGTATGTATGTATGTATGTATGTATGTATGTATGTATGTATTATGTAGAAATGTTTTTCAGTAGGTATGCACATGTACACACATCCATTGTTATGCAATCAAATTGCAGAATGGCTTCAAACATAGCCTTCCTAGAAATACAAGGTAGGCGCTTTATCAGATCAGTAGGTAACTTGTTAACACGTTTTGCAGAAGCATAGAATTACACCATATGTGCTGTCATTAAAGTTACTATATATTAATGAGCATCTAAATTGGTTCCAATATTGCTGCTTAGTAATTTCTTCTGAATTAAAACATTTCATCCTAGAGGGAAGCTTCTTAAGACTTAGGAAGTTCTTTCTAAAGAAGGTTTGTTAAGACTCAGGGAGTAGACAACTCACAAGTGTCAGAAACTCCCTGAAGTCAAACAGATTCACAAAGGCCTTCCCTTTGTGCAAGGTTATATACGCAGTAAGACCTGCTGAGGAGAGTAGACTCTCTATCCCACTGAGCTGTATACAATTCATGCAGCGAGCTCCAGGGCTGCATCTTTCATGAGCTATCACCCAGGTTGGGGTGGGCTCTCTGTGATGCAGGTGCCTTTGAGGTGTTCACACTCCTCTAAGTAACTTCTTGCCAGGACTCCTTTAAGCAATCAATAAACTCACTGAGTCACCAGCTTGGACTCTGGTGGTGTGACTACTTTCTTCTGTCATCACTTCCTTATCTGGCATGAACAGAAGACTGCTCGACTCCCAGAAACAGTGTCACACAAGAAATATTCCTTTGTAAAATCATTATACATAGGATTGATAAATGTTTGAGTCAAAAGTTGCACACACATATGCAACATATTATGGCTTACACATACATTAATATTCAATGGCAATAATACTTCAAACCTTGAAAACAGTGCTCCTATTTGGCGATACATACATACATATATTTTTTCTACTAACTCAGAATATTTTACATTTTCTCTCATGTATTCTTTTGGAACAGTTAAACAGTGAGTATTGGTATTTAACATCTGAACCAAATCAGAGCCTTCAAAGATATATGTGGCAAAGGAAATATGAACACCAAATTTAGGGAAGGCTTTAGGTAGTTAGGCTTTTCCCAACAGAATAACATGTTTCCTCAGCTGCTGGCTTGGGAGGACACTGGGCAACCCTCCCACTCATTTTTTATTCTTGACCTTTCCTGCCAACTGTCTTTCATCTCATACCCACTTAAGTTGTGCAGAACCTTACCACAACACTGGTCTTAGCTTGATTGCAATTATTTCTTTATCCTAAGACATCTCAGTGATAAATAGAGGATCACTGAAAGCTCATTTGGTTCTTGAATTTCAGTGGTTTGTCTTTTTTCCTGTCTATCCTGCAAACTTTAATAATTATCAGAGACCCATACTCTTTCCTATCCCTCGAGGCATCTGGTGATTCAAATAAAACACATATTAAGTAAAGAAATTTTAACTATATTGTGTTAATATAGTACTGAGAAACAGTTTAGCCTATTGGATAACACTGGTATATTTTCAGGCACTGTGTAAATCTTTCCTATGTCATTTAATTAAAAGATAAAGAATACCCCAGACTTCTGTTAGTTTTGTTGATGTATTTTTAGTCCATTTTGGGGAAGACATTTGGAAAATAAAACCAAGCACTGAAAACTGTCAGGTTAGAATGAAAGGAATTTATGGACTTTTATCTTATACAAATATGACTACAGCATTTTCAAATACCTGCACTTAAGTTAGTGGCACTGATTATTTCATATGCATTATCAAGTACTCGGCAAACAATGCATACCTTTATACAATTTGTCCAGCTTTCGAATATAACTTTCCATACTTTGAGAAGAGGTCAAATGATGGTAGAACTGTCTGAAAATCCTAGAGGAAAGAGATCAGATTACACAGAGACTCCACTGGTTCATACCGTTACCATTACTGCATCATCACTCGGCTTTACTTGAACTGTAAGGTGGATTTTAACAACTACACTTCATGTTTCCCCATCACACCCTCCACACACACTCAGCAGCTAAGATTTTTTTTATCAGTTTAAAACTTTCTTCAAATTCACACTTTTTTTTTGACAAGGTCTCACTGTAGTTCTGGCAGTCCTGGAAATCATAACATAGGCCAGGCTGGCCTCACACTGCAGTTCACATGCCAACATGGAATTTATTCACCTGCTTTCAAGAAGTGTGCAACATGATTGCCTTTGCCTTGGTTTTGGAGGTGGGTTTCTGTACTTAATATTTGGCCAAATAAACATTTGCTAACTGAACCTATGCAAAGAGGAATGTGATGTCTCTTCATAACTGTACTAGAGGTCACGTGTGGAAGCATCAGACATGGCTTACTAATTAGAAGGCATGTGGAGAAGAAGTGAGTTTTGCTAGTAGCAGACTAGCAGCATTTGATTAAGAAATGGATGCTTCCATAGCATGTAGGCTACACTACCAAAGTTGCTAAAGAGGTAGCTCCTACACCAACCCTGAATACTGTGAAGAAATGGTCAGACTGCACAGAGGTTTAATTTCTTCCTGAAAGTATGACTATTATCAGAGAAAATTCTTGCCAAAGCTTTCTGTCCAAAGAAGGTCTAGGAGAGGGCTTCCATCCTTGCCTGGCTATGAGAGGGTCCACGCTTTACTAGTACTCTCAGGAAAGCTTCAGAAGGACCCATTGTATGCCAGAGTGTCACAGAGATCTGCCATGTGTCATCAGAGATCTGTCATGTGTCACAGAGATCTGCCATTTGTCATCAAAGATCTGCCATGTGTCACACACAGAGATCTGACTCTGCCTTAGATCAGTGATGACAAATCTCAGGAAAACTTCTGCATGTGTCATTCTGTGTTTGTCTTGCCTGTGTGGCATGAAAGTTGTTGTGGACACTGCTCCTGAGTGCAGAGATAATATGTGCAACAGAAACTCAGTTAAAAAAAACAAATGAGTAACTCTGAATGAAATCCTTTTCCTTGGGCAGCACAGACTTGGTGGATTGTCTGTGGGGCTCAGCAGCTGACACCTCAGACATCTACGAGCAGCTAGAAACTCATACAGCTCTTCGTCCGGAACCACAAAGTTCTGTTGTCTGTGTGACACATGATAGTGATTTTTCTGTTAGCAACTCAATGGACACTATAACCCAGAACTGTGAGTAGCTTCAACTTTGTGAGTGTATATAACAGTATTTTATTTAACTTTCAAAACAAACAGACCCTTTCCACATGAAATGCCACAGAGGAAAGAAATGTGATAGAGGTCAGAAGGGAAAATGAAATCTTATTTTTTCTTATTCCTCATCAATCTATCAGATAGCAGTCTTTGCTCTGAAGTCACAGTAGCAGTCATGTGACCGGTGACTACAGCTATGGATGAGGGAAGCAAACGACGCCAATGTGACACGCAACGGTCTGGAGAGAGGAAAGAATGAGGGGAACCTGTTAAAATATTTTCACTGTCAGCAAGGTAGTGGTATTTGGAAGTGGACCCATTAGCTGTAAACATGTACTCCACACTCTGGAGTGACTATAAGAAAATATTTTAGTTACTGCAGCTAAGAGTTGGGAGACATGGGATATTATAAAATGATTGATTAATAGAATATGTGCTAGATAAAGAGGAAAAACAAACTAAAACTAAATAAATGTCAAGTGTAGAGGCTGAAGAGATGGCTCAGAGATTAAGAGCACCAGCTGCTCTTCCAGAGGACCCAAGTTCAATTCCCAGCATCCACATGGTAGCTCCCAACTGTCTATATTCATGGTTCCAGGGGAACTGACACCCTCACACTGATATATGTGTAGGCAAAACACTAATGCACACAAGATTAAAAATAAATTATTTTTAAAAAGGGCAAGTGTAGTGAAGAAAAAAGTTGTCATGGTGGTAGGTAGTGATCCAAATGCATTAATAATAATTTTAGATGGGCATGATCTAAATGACCCATAAAAGACAACAGAATCCTTCATAATATGGTTTAAAAACTTGCTTTAAATATAGAACACAAATAGTGAATGTAAAGGGCCCGAAAAGAAACACTACATTCACATTAGCCAAAGAAAGATGAAATAGCTATATTCATTTTGGATAAAATAGATTTCAGAATAAGCAAAGTGATCAGGGATAATGAGAGTCATTAAAGAATGCTAAAGGGGTCAAGTCTCCAAGAAGACTTGTCAATCATTAATGTGTTTGTGCCTAGAATCAGAGGGTCAACATACATGAGGCCAAAACTCAAGAGAGCTGGGAAGGAGAAGCGGATGGATTCACTATTGTACTTGGTGAATTCCATACCCCTTTATCAGTGACTGACAGATCCAGCAGGTAGAAAATCAACAAGGGTGTAATTGAACTGAACAGTGCTGTCAATCAACTGGACATAATTGACATCTATAGACTTTTTCATCCACAGCTGCAGGGTGCGCACATTCTCCTCAGATTCATACAGAAACACACCAAGATAAACTGCATGCTGGACCATGACACACTTTAACAAATTTAAAACAAACTACACAGTGCTGTTTCTGAACAGAGTAGATTCACACTGGAAATCAATGCCAGATGCATGGAAACCTCCAAATGTTTGAAAAATAGATAGTGCACTCTGAAAGGGTTACAAGTTAAAAGCGTCTCAGGAGAAAAAACAAGAGCAGCAAGGACAGAGTTGAAGACAAGGCCTGCAGCTGGTGACCTGACCAGTTTGAGAAAACCAGGAAGAGTCTGTACAACCAAATAGAAGAAGATGATCCAAGCAGAAATCTGGAAGTGAAAACTAGAATCAGGTAGGGAAGATGGCTCAGCAGGTAGAACTCCTGACCCCAAGCATGCAGGCCAGGCTCTGGACCCCAGCACCACATCATCCCTGCACTCTAGGGCAAAGACAGGGTGAAGACTAGCTGTAACCCGTAAGCCCCAGGTTCTTCAGTGACAGACCCCATGATAAAAACAGGAAACAGAAACGAATCAGACAGTTCTGATGTGGGGACCTTAAAATGAGTAGTTCTGTTCCTCGTCCTTGGAACCAGCTCTGCCTTGTCCAGAACCTGGAAATGTTCTTGTTTCTACTAGAACTTCTGTCCTGTTGTGACTCCATAAACACCAAAACCATTCAGGCAGGGACACTAGTGTGCGCTCTGGCTGCTCATGTTTCTTCTTTTATGCAGCAATGACAGTGAACAGAACACAGCTTTCGGGAATGACCAGATGCTTCATGGACCCTGGAAGGTGGACCCGAAGTTCCTGTGCAGACACAGGAATGGACAGACACATGGACAGATCATGGGTAGGACAGCTGGCTTGACCAGCTTAGTCCATGCTGCAGCCCAGGAAACTTTCCAAGCCCTCAGTCGGGACCCTGGGTCGGTGGGTGGGTGGGGGTGTTGGCCTTGTTTGGAAATGGCTCTTTCTATTGCAGTTCTACTTGCTTCCTCCCCTTGAGCTCTCACCCACAACAAAACTCACTCCTCTGCTGTCTGTGAAATTCATTCATTCATTCATTCATTCATTCATTCACTCATTCATTCATTGTTTGCAAGACATAGGAACTGGAAGCCACTGGCTGGTGGTGGCTTTGGGGGCTGTTGATGATTCTGAATAGCTTCCTAAGTTATGCTCTCCTGAGGCAAGAGAGCCTCCATTGCACCTGAGTGCCCTCTGATTTTCCCCACTGTCACCTGCTTCAGTAAACAAAGTGAAAAGGACGGAGGAGGATGCCCTGTGTCAACTTTAGGACTCCACAAGCATTGCACATATGTGTACATTGGTCTACACACATGTATACCCACACACGCAAATAAACAGACACATGTGCACATCACACATAAATACACATGTGCTCATGACACAGGGAAAGAGAAACATCAAAAACGGAATCCACTTATTTGAAAACATCAACAAAACTGAGAAGCTGATAACCAGGCTGAGCAAGGAAATAAAGGAAAGAGAATACACAAAAAGCTAATGCCAGAAGGAAAGACAGATCAAACCCTGGAAAGGACAAAAAAGAAATACAACCAGGAAGTCTCAATCAGAAACTGAATAACAGGTAAAATCTCCCAGTGCCCTGAAAGATGCTCTGCTACAACCCATACCAGGGTGAGCAGATTATCCAACCCAGCCGGTTTCTGTTTATAAAATGGAAACAATTCATTCTTTCAGTTGGCCGCAGTGGTGTCTTCCTAGCTTTAGAAGGGGGTTGTCCACCTTGCATCCTCCTTCTGGAGATGAGCAGGATAAAGTAAGGCTCTCAGCGCTCGTGTTTTCTCCTCTCAGTCCATCAGTGGTCAAAGTCTGCTCATGGTCTACTTATCCTGCTCTTTCAAAAGGCCAACGGAGTAAACCGCACTGATGCTCTGACACATTTGGAGCAATGTGATGAAACTCGACTTTGATCACACCTCCCCGTGAGTAATTGTCTTTTCAACAAGTACCCTGAATACACACATGCACATGTACTTACATATGTAGGTCAGATTCACAATGACTATACTCAGCCGTTCTGGGCTTTGCTTCCTTACGTCCTTTGGTGCTCTTGCACTCTTAATTTTGGACTTCTCTGAGTTAGGATCCTCCCCCTCCCATGCATTCAGGTAGTGTGTGGGCCTCAGTTCACAGTGTGCTGCCTTCTGTTCAACCACCGGTACCAAGACTTAATCCTGCCTAGGGCCAGACAATGGACATCCACAGTCATGTGGATGGATGTGGATTGGCCCACTGTGTCCTGTAGAAGAAAGATCTTCCAGAAACCCTTTAGTTTTATTTTTTATTTTCCAGTCTCTCATGGCCTTAGCTGGTAAGTAACTGCTAGTGTTGTAGTGGAACTACAGCTTTGGTCTCAGGAAACCTCTGGTACTGACTCTAAGTTCCATCCAAGTTGT